TACTATAAACCCTAAACCCTAAGCCCTGAACCCCTACACCCTAAACCCTGAGCCCTAAACTACCCAAATCTATTGAACTCTCTTCGCAAAGATAGGGGACCCCAATATAGTCCCCAAAATAAGGGTCTCCTATTTTCGGAAACCCCCATATTGAGCTCTCTTCGCAAAGCCCACAAGCCGCCTGGACCAGAACGGGGTTGGCCGCCTCGGTGGCGATGAATCCCAGGTGGTCGGTCAGAAAATCCTGAACTTGAGGGTCGAGGGTTTAGGGTTTGGGGTCTGGGGTTTAGGGGTCGAGGGGTTTAGGGGTTCAGGGGTTTAGGGGTTTAGGGGTTTAGGGGTTTCGGGTTTAGGGAAAGTCCTGAACTTGAGGTTTAAGTTTTGGCGTCTTGAGGCTGTGGGCTATCTCTACGCCTCCAAACCCTGTAAGCCGTGGGCCCTAAAAATCTAGAGTCCTAGAGGCCCTAAACATGTAAAGCATCGAACTAAGCAATCCGATTCGCTCTAGAACCTACAGGGCTTGGTTTGGCGTCTTCTGGCCGGGAACAAGATATGTCCATAGCCACCATTGTACAGCCAGTTTCGTCGCTAACCTATCTTATGGCTGAGATCCTATCATAAGAATAGAAGCCCTGAACCCTAAACCCTAAGAACTCCAGTGGACACCATATCTACTTACGGGCGGTGTCCTGAGATTCAGCCCGAAGGCTCTCAGAGAGATGATGCTAATTATTGGGGGTGTAGGGTTTAGGGTTTAGGGTTTAGGGTTAATTTGGGCTCGGCTCGGGCCGAAGCGGTCAGAGTTCCCCCCCCCCCCAGACCCCACACCCTGTTCCCACCGCTTCCCTCGTCTCTTCCTTGCGGCCAGGCAAGACAAGCTAGCTTGCAACATTCGTGTAGTTGATGCCAAGGCGTTGGAATTCTGGGGCTGTGTCTTGTAAGTGCTTTGTTGCATAGCATACGCTTGATTCCCCTCCCAACATATATAAGGCTGAGTACGAGACCAGTGAGAAGTGTGGGATAACGGAGGGGAATGTGCCACTTTCGCATGGGACTAGTGCTGAGCCTCAGCACGGAAAGATTCATTCATTCATTTCAGGACCTCCCCTGTGTGACCTACCTGCTGCTCTCCGAAACAGTGAACCTGCTTCAAGTACGTAGAGCTGGGCCGAGTCTGACCATTCGAAGCGTTTAAAATTAGATTTACACTTTTTGGGGATTCACGGGTCTTTGAAGGGATTTTGCGCACTTTGCTAGAAGGAAGATGAGGTCTGTACCTTGTTCCAATATGCCGGCGTTGTCCGTCATGTGCGTGTTTCTGTGTGTGTACATGTGTATATACATATATATATATATATATATATATATACCTGCATCTATATATATATATATATATATATATAATGTATTTATATTTCTTTTTATGTACACCTACCTAGCTACTTAGCTAGCTAGCTAGCTGGCTACCTACTCACCTATATACATACATACCTACATACATGCATGCATGCATACATACGTATATGTATAATATTGTGTGTATATATATATATATACGTGTGTGTGTGTACAGAGCGAGAGACCTGATGTATTTATATTTCTTTTTATGTACACCTACCTAGCTACTTAGCTAGCTAGCTAGCTGGCTACCTACTCACCTATATACATACATACCTACATACATGCATGCATGCATACATACGTATATGTATAATATTGTGTGATATACAGAGCGAGAGAGAGAGAGAGAGAGAGAGAGAGAGAGAGAGAGAGAGAGAGAGAGAGAGAGAGAGAGAGAGAGAGAGAGAGAGAGAGAGAGAGAGAAAGAGAGAGAGAAAGAGGAAGAGAGAGAGAGAGAGAGAGAGAGAGAGAGAGAGAGGAGAGAGAGGGGGAGAGAGAGAGAGAGGGAGAGGGAGAGAGAGAGAGAGAGGGGGAGAGAGAAACAGCAAAGTTAGCTTTTCGATGTTATATCAGACATATATTTGGCCCGGAGTCCAGACCGCCCTTATGCCGGAATACAAACCATGACCTTCAGGGTCAACGCATACCCTAAACCCGAAAACCCCAAACCCGAAACCAAAAAAAACAACTAAGGACCTATACCCCCTAAATCCTGAGACCCCAACGCCGAAACAAGAAAAAACAAGTTAAAAAAAAAAAAAAAAAAAAAAAAAAAAACCCAAATCCGGCCTTCGAGCCGTAGAGCTGGATGAGGATCGCCTTTAAGGCCTCACCGTACCGGGCTTCTAGGCTCTGGGTTTAGGGCCGTTTCGGGGGGTTGAGGGCTCAGGGTGTGGGGTTTAGGGTTTAGAGTTCAAGGCTCAGGCTTGAGAGTTTGGGGTTTAGAGCTCCAGAAGAGTACTAGAAGGCTACTATAAGTATAAGGGGGTTAGGGCTTTAATTTTAGGGCTTAGGTTTAGGGTTTTGGGTTGCCCAAGCCTTGGAATTGTTCCTGACTTGTGCAAACTCGTGCTTTTCTGGCGCCTTCAGCTCCGATCATTCAGCTTCGTCTTGACCCGTCAGTGAACTCTGGACAAATCCTGAACCGCAACCCCCATCCTAAAACTCGAAAACGAAGGTTAAGAGCTTTGGTTTAGGGTTTAAGGGGTAAAGCTTCAATCCCACAAACTCTAAATCCTAAACCCAGGAGTTTACATAGACCATGCAATATCGTTTTTCGGTTAGCAAGGTACAGGGTCCTAACCGTAAAACACGCTATCCCAAAACTGTACTGGGCAGATCCGTAAACTCTAAATCCTAAACCATGGATCGTAAGCCCTACATCCTAAAGCCTAAACCATCAAGAATTACAGGAAACAAAATCGTGCGCCGCTGTGCACCTGGCTTAGTTGCTAAGTTCAGAAGCCTCAAACAGCATACACTTTCAGTTTCATAGGAGATCATGTCATCATACATGATCCCAGAAATTGCAAGTTGTACCCACTCTGCTACTGAGCTAGTTGCCGCCATCCAGCTGCCAGTGTTCGTCACATGGAAGCAAGGTGCAAGACCCAGCGCACTCGAGCCCAGCCGAGGCGCAACTCCCGCCCAGCTCGGCCCCCGGCCCAGTCCAACCCAGCCCAACCCCAAATTCGAAATCAGATTCCAGAAAGATAACTTCGCTCAAAACTTCTGTCACAAACTACTTCCATAAGTCCCAAACCCTAAACCTTAAGCCCTCGGAGCTTAGGGTTGGGGGAATCCCAGAAGAAGGCTGTTGGCCTCGTAGTCCACCTGCACCAACGACATCTCGGTGAGGCTGCAGGCATCTCTCGTTCGCTCCACCGGCACCTCGAGCACTTCTTTCTGTAAGGGCTTCTTAGGTTTAGGGTGAAGGGTTTAGGGTTGCAAGCCTAAGCGTCTAGGATGAAGAGTTTAGGGAGTAAGGACTAGGCATTTAAGAATCTATGGTTTAGGGTGCATGTCTTTGTGTGGGAGGGGCGGCTCTTTCGCAGGGTTTGTCTTGGGCGCTTACATGTGTCACAGAGTGTTTTCTGCCTGCCCATGCCTGTAACCGTACAAGCCAATAGCTAGATGCCTTTATTGCCTATAGCGATACCGATACCTGTATCATTGTGTCATGTAGGCAACTATCATGTGAGTCATAAAAGCAATACTCGGACGGAATCGGAACGGCGTTGTGTAAGGTGATCCAATATCACATGTATACACTATCCCTAGACCCCAAACCCAGTGCAATGTACGGTACTGATGATCTTGATCTGCTACTCCACGCCAGCAAAGGCCCGGGAACGGCTCATACATCAGTTAGGTGTTAGGGTTTAGGAGCCCTGAACCCCAACCCTAAACCAGAAAGTTTAGGGATTAGGGTTTAGGGCGCCGAGCCGTTGCTCAAACGCCGGGGGCTTTGAGTGTGGGCTTTGCCATTGGACAACATTGGCGCTACTTGCAAGTAGCGGTTAGAGTTTAGGTTCGTCGCTGCATGTACCTCTCAGTAGCATCAGTATCACGCTGGGACCTCAGCTCAAAGAGCTATCCCTAATCTGGATTACAGCATACTCCGAATTGGACGGCTCTTGATGAAACCCTAAACCCTAAACCGTTGAGGACCCTGCACAGTACCCAGATAAGAGACCTATGGCCGACAACAGAGGGTACTTCAGCAGTAACTTTTCCCTACGAATCCAAAATCACCCAAGCTAGGATGCCCAGTGACCTAGGGGAAAAAGGGCTCCCTTTTTGGTATTGGGTACCTTTTAAAGGAACCTAGGACTACAAAAAGGGAATAAGGGTACTACTGGGCATGCTAGCAAGAAGTAAGGTACATGGGCTGAGACTTGGGGGAGTATACGATCCTTGGGAACTTAGCCCCCCGAGCGTGGAGGTTGAGGATGTTTAGTATTGCTTCACTCGAGCTCCCACTCCCTTCACTGGAGGGAGCCGACAGAGGTGGTTCCGTTTTGACATGAAAGGGTCTATGGTTTGGGCTAAAGCGGACTTTGACCCTGGGTGCAGAGTGTGTCTGCTGTACTATAGAGAGGGCCAGATAGGAACTCGAAGGGGGTCTTCATTGAGACGATAGTCCCGCTCTGGGTCTTCCTCTTCCACAGTCCTACGGTTTATGATATAAATCCTGCATGACCCATAATAAGGAAGATGCCATAATCCCCATATATCCCTTAGTCTGGGTAATGCAGGGTTTATATCATCAACCGTACGAACAACCCAGGCATCAAGGAAATAACCTCGCCTCTGACTCTGCGCAAGTCAACCCAAAACGCTCAGGCGTAAGGTGCTAAAGTCATAACCTGTTGTAGAGCATACAGTACAAACCCTGCTGAACCCCGAACCTTAAGCCCTTAGGCCAGGCTTGACTGAGGAAGTTGACTAAACCCTCACACCTGAACCCAAAACCTTAAACCCTACCCCCTCAATCCTGAACCTTGAATTCTTAAACCCTAAACCCCTAAACCCTGAACCCGAACTCCCTTTACTATTACTATTACTATTACCGTTACTATCATTAGTAAACTTAAACCTTAACACGAGCGAGGTGCCCCGGGAGCGACAGAAGAGCTGTCGGTGCCCAGGAGCAGCTCAGCGTGATTGGCCTTTTGACGGATTTCGAGGCTTGCTTTTAGAGTTAATTTTTACACATGGGTCGGGGATTTAGAGTTTAGGCTTTAGGGTTTAGATTTTTAGGGTTTGGGGCACAAGGCTTACAAAAAAGTCCTTAAGGCTCAGTGAGGATTGCTATAGGTGGTGGGGTTCGGTTGGCCTTCTAGCCGGGTCCAGTGGCGTTGGGTTTCGGGACTGCAACAAACTCCTTCGGGTTCAGTTGGGTTGATTTCAGGTTTAGGGTTCAGTTGCAGGGTTCAGGGGCACAGTACAGGGTTCAGGGACTACCCTTCATTACCTGGGGTTCGGTTACTTGGAGGCCCTTTTGACTTAGTAAGTAGGGTTAGTAAGGTAAGTTATGGGGATTATAATCGGGTTTCTAGGGGATACTAAGTAGACTTACTAAGTCAAAAGGGCCTCCAAGTAGGGTTATATAGGACTTGGGGTCACTTGGAGGCTATTGGGTTTCAAACCTTTGGGCTTCCACCCAAAGACTAAACCCTGAACCCCCCTAAACCGTTTTTGGGAACCCGCACAGAAACCCTCAAAGGACTCGTTTGAGGTAAACCCTTAGCCCTAGACCCTTTAAAATAACCCTGTTGAAGCCACGAAATCAAAGCCTCGAACAGCGCGGCGGAGGCCTCGAAGTCGCCTGCGGCTCCATCTAGCAGCGCAAGGTTTAGGGTTTAGGCTTTAGGATTCTGGGTTGAAGGTTCAGGGTTTAGGGTTACAGGTTTAAGGTTTCGGTGAGAATCCTACAGAAAGTCGACGTCGATAAGGGCTCGATAGAGTTGAGCGTCGTAGGTCCCCTCGAGTTAAAAGGTCGCCTACTCTACACTAAGAGTCTCTGTGTGTGCGTCTGTGTGCTGGCTTGGGCTTTCTCGGCTGTTCCAGCCTCGGTGAACTATATGTATCCTCATCTGTAACTATACTTGTGTATGTATATATATATATATGTAATATGCACATAGAGTTCTGTATGTACACACACCTAAACACCATTATTGCATATGTATCTAGGCATACCTATATGTGTGTGTGTAAATGTGTGTGAATGCGGGGGAGAGGGAGGGAGGGCGGAGAGAAAGGGAGAGACAGACAGAGACAGAGACAGAGACGGAGACACAGACAGAGAGTGCAGGCGCATGGGCATACCAACTGTTCTCGATGCAGACAAGTAAGTGTGTGTGTGTGTGTGTACGCGAACATGGTTACTACATATAGTCTCCACTGTAGTTCCTTTTTTGGGTTACCTTATAGGATCCTTAATATATAATTGGTTAAACCAAAAAAAGGAACTACAATGGAGACTATAGGTAGATCCTGGCAGGGAACGCCCTGGACCTGCAAGAGGGTCAACCCGACGGCTCCAACACCACAACCCTAAACCCTACATTCGTGAACCCTCAAATCCTGAACCCCAAATGGGTGGTTGTCAAAATTATGGTCCCTTTGGGGGTCCCCTAAATAATAGCCGCCGTATCATATTAGGAACCCAAAAAGGGACCATAACCATAACTTTGACAACCACCCAAATCAATAACCCTGATTCCCGAAAATCCAAGCCACCTACCTCAAACCAAAATCCTCCAAATGCCGATGCCAAGACAGCGAAAACACTTGGTAAATTCTGCGAAGATCCTGTCCGATTCTTGGCAGTGTCTCCGAGGTAGACAATGAGAGCCCTTAGCAGGACACATACTCTACGGCTTCACAGAGCTCGGCAAGTAGGGCTTTAGGGCTGGGCTTCAGGCTTCTTATTGCTCAGGATTCAGGGTTTCGAGCTTTACATTTAGGTTTAAACAGGTTGGGCCGTCGTGATGGGCTTTTCCTGCATCAAAAACCGTCATGAGTATCGCGCAGTCTGACCATTCGAATCAAAGCTACGGCGACGTAACGTGGACATGCAATGAACCTGTGGATTGTGGAACTTGCTGGTCGGAGCAGTAGGAAGATGCAGGAAGCTGTTTGGGCACAGCCACAAGCATGACTAAGGCTCTAAACCCCTAAACCCGAAACCCCTAAAGCCCTAAACCCGTAGACCCTAAACCCTGCTTAGGAATTCAGGGCAGGCAGATCTAAAGCTCCAGCATTTCAGGGGGATCGGGAGATTAGCTCAGGGCGAATCCCCACAGTACCAGGGTTTTGGGTTTAGGGCCTCGGGTTTAGGGCTTAGGGTTATGGGTTTAGGGCTTAGTACGGGTTTAGGGTTATTACCAGGGTTTTGGGTGTGGGGCTTTTGCCTCTTTTTCACACAGAATAAGGAGAATCCCTAATCTCAAACCGACCCTGCGCAAAACCTCCTCCACCGACAATAGTAGCTCCTTTGTTTGGCTTACAAAAATGATGGTTGGGATACCATAAGCAAACAATAAGGAACTAGTTGCAATGGAGACTGTAAGTAAAGACCCTTAACTTAAACGAACTCTAACCCTACACGCTAAACCCTAAACCGGAAAACAACTGCGAACTGCGAACCCCAATAATAACCTAAACCAATATGTTGAATGCACTCACGAAGCCAAGTCCAGAAAAAAAAATTGAAAGAACAGCTGCGCAATGGTTTAGCCCCAAAATCGTAAACCCATACCGACGACCTTCAAATAGCCCTAAAGTCCAGAAAAGACAGACACGCAACCATAAACCCTCAACAAACGCTACAAGGCCCAAAAGAAAAACTCCATGAACACGATTCCCTAGGCTATTTTGATCCAAAAGCCTTATATAGCATGGTCTTTGGGCTCAACAGCCTCAATAATTGAGTCCTTGAAGCCCTAAACCCTAAAACCCTAAACCGAAAACCCTAAACCCTAAACTTTAGGAAAACACCATGAATCCTCAACTGTCCTAGACAGTTTAGGCTCATTACCTAAACCGATAGATCCCTTATGGAGCCCTTTAAAGGAACCCCGAGACCCCAACAGTTGGGCATCCAGGTGACTCCTTGGCCATGCGTTGCGCCAGCACCTGAAGCTCCTCAGAGAGCTGCCAGATGACGCTCCTTTCAAGATTTAGGGCTTAGGATCTGGGGCTGGGGGGGTTTAGGGTTTGGGGGTTTACGGTTTGCGGTTCCTTCAAAGGGATCCTACAGGGGTTGGGGGTTTAGGGTTATTGGGGTTTAGGGTTCTTTCAAGATCTGGATGTTCCTTGAAGGGATCCTATAGGGTTCCCTTAAAGGGTTCCATAAAGGGGACTATAGGGTTTATCTTGGGGTTAAGGTTTAAGGGTTTGGGGGTTCCTATCTTTAAAGGGATCCTATAGAGTTTAGGGTTTAGAGATTCCTTTCAAGGGATCTTATAGGATTTAGGGTTTAGAGTTTGAGGGTTTAGGGATTTGGGTGCAGGGTTTAGGGTTCAGGGTTTACGGCTATTTGAAGGGAGAGGCTTAAGGACTACTACTGGGGCTACTTCAAGAATAGTACTTGTCTAACAACTTGCTGCAAGCACGGCACTAGGTACTTTAAGGGTTACTACAAGGGCCATTTTTTTCTCCAGGGTGGTTCCTTCAACGGATCTATAGGGATTCCTTTCAAGGGATCCATAAGGGATCTATAGGGTTTAGGGTTTAGGGTTAAAAAAAGCTTTTTGAGGGCTGTGAGCTAACTAGTAGGATCCACATTTTAAGGACCCCAGATTACCATGTGGGGTTTATCAAGGGTCCTTCCAGTGGTTCTGTAGGGATCCTTTTTGGGGCGTTTAATTTTTTAGGCTCCTGGGGTCTATGCGTTCAAAACGTTTTCTGAAAGGGTTCTTGTAAGGGCTCCAGACAGACGAGACGGGGCTCCTGTAAGGCCTCAGGGTTTGTGCACGTTTACGTCATGGTCGCTAGCGTGCTAGGGGGGGTCCACACCCGGGCCGCTCGTACTGTGCGTAGCAGGCATCCCACCCCAAGACCATGCGGTGACTCAACCTTTACACGTAGTCACGTAGTTCTCTTCTGGGAATCGCAGAAGCAGGGGCTTGAGTATCACCGAGGCATTGCAGCCGGGGTTTGGGCATATCGAGGGGTCTTTGAAAGGGGCTCTGGCAAGTCGACGGAAAGCCGGCCATGTCGGATGAACCGAGAAACTAGCAAGTAGCACTGGGTTTCTGTGAGGCTGTCTTGGATCACAGAATGACGACGCGGAAGTGGCGATTGTGACAAACAAGGCCCTCTGTGAGGCTGTCTTGGCAGCGAGCATTTTCGCTAATGTAGGAACCTGATTAAGAAACCTTGGGCCATTATTAAGAGGTTCCTTGTATGAATCCGAACTATTCTGGGGTTATAGGCCCAGGGTTTCTTAATCAGGTTCTTACATTAGTGGTGCATGTTGGCGTTCCGTGAGGCTCTCGGGCGTGTGCTGCCCAAATTGGGTTTCGGGTTTAGGGTTTAGGGGTTTAGGGGCTTAGGGCTTTAGGGTTTAGGGTTTAGGGGTTTAGGGGTTTAGGGGGTTAGGGTTTAGGGGTTCAGGGTTCAGGGCTGTAATTGGGCTGAGGCTGTCCGATCAGGTGCTGTGGTTGACGGCAGCGCATGTGTGCTGTTTACTCTGTCTCGGTGCGCCGCCTAACGGTCCCGGTTCGTCCGGCAGAAGTTCCGGCAGGAGCCAGGCACTGCCCAGAGTTCGTCCGGGAACCGGGTGGGGCGGTGGCGGAGAAATGAGGAGGCTTTCCTTATTGTTCTTTCACTGCGTCCTCAGATAGGGAGCGAGCATTCTTGTCCTCTTGCGCGGGATTTCTCAAGAAAGCGACAGCAAAAGGCGTGCAAGCTTAGGGCGCTGCCTTGTACCAGGTGGTCGCCCCCTCATGTAAAACAGAACAAGACCTTACTGAGATGACAATGAGAAACCGTGTGAAATCGTCGAAGGATGAATAGAGAAAGCCTTAAACTCTACGTAAAGTTCGAATCAGGAACCCAAACCCTAAAGCCCTATATAATCGGGCGTTAAGCGAACAGTGAAGGCACTTCTAGCCCGTATGATAATTAAACAGAAACCTGCTGACACGCTCTTGAGTGACTCCGGGCCGTTTGCACGTGAGCGTTTCGTGAAAGCTCCGAACTGCGCGAACCATTGGTTTCAGCACATCCCTGGTTTGCGCATTCCTTTTCGGGAAGAGCGCGATCCTAGAGAGAGGTCTGCTGGAATGGTCACAGCACATCACCGCATATCGTCCTCCCCCCAACCCCCACCCCTCCCACTCCACGCAAAAGCGCAAGACCGACGGTAAACCCAGCCGAAATGATAACTCCCGACCGACAAGGAACCCTGAACGGCGCGGAATCGTGGGAAGTCTGCACATCTAAACCCTGAAACCTGCGAAATACACGGAGGCTCTGGAGAACATCAAGCCAGAGACGACACAGTACTCCTCACCCCCATTTCCTGAAGCCTACAAAAGGCCAAAACCCAAACCACCGATGCAACTGTAACGTCCCAGACTCTCTAAACCCAAAATGATCTCCTGATGCTAGGGCGGACGACCAATGTCTCCCGAACCTTCAGCTGCATCGGGGTTACTTTAGGGCTCTAAGGCTTTAGGCTTTCAGTATTTGTCTTAGGCATCGAAGTTCACTGCTTTAGGGCTTTAGGGCTTTGGGGCATGTGTGTCTGTGTGTGTATATATACGTCTATACACATCATGTATGTGTGTGTGTATATATGTATATATATATATATATATATATATATCTCTATATCTATATCTGTATCTATATCTATATCTATATCTATATCTGTATGTGTAGATGTACGGTATATGTCTGTGCACACAAAATGTGTGTACATGCAAAGTCAAATAAACATGCATCTAATTCTCGGGCAAGTCTGGTCCGGTATAGAGTTGAGTTGAGGATCATGGTGGCTGTCGATTGTGGTCCCGTTCTGGTATCCCCCGACAAGTACATGACTTGTACTACACACCCAACACTACACACCCAAACGGATCCTTGCTAGAGAGCCTTATGCCGTGGTTGAGCCAGGTATGATGGCGTCATTCTTGAGTTAAGCTTACTGTGCTGATTGCCGCTGCCATGCTGCGCAGTGCTACAGGCATTCGTAGTGATTATACGACGACCGGTCGTGGCTTACTTGGAGGTTCATGGGTACTTATAAGTAGGGTTATAAGTAAGGTAACTATACTTGTAACCCATATTAAGGGGCTTATGACCCCACTTATGACTACCCCTGAACCTCCAAGTAGGGTTGGAGTGGTTTGGTTTAAGGTTCTGCTAAGGGCTCTTCAAGGCTCGGGCTGGGAGTTGGGGGTTTATGCCTTCGAGGGTTTAGGGTTTAGGGCTTAGGGTTTAGGGTTGAGGGTTTAGGGTTTAGGGTTGGGAGTTGGGGGGTTTAGGGTTTAGGGTTGGGAGTTGGGGGGTTTATGCCTTCGATGCTCCAAGTTTACCCGAACCCAAGTTGCCCTTGACCCCAAAGTATGCATACGAGCCACAACTACGAGGGTGAGTTCGGGCGGCAGTCGAAGCTGAAAGGTGTGGTTCCCGAAGAAACATAAACCCTGAACCCTAAACCCTAAAGTCCCTAAAGAAACAAACCCTAAACCCTAAACCCAACCTCAATATCATATTCACACATTGCTAAAACCCTAAAGAAATGAACCCTAAACCCTAAAGCCAACCTCATTACTATATTCAGATATTGCTATATCATTATATAGTCTTACATTTGCAAAACTCAATCCCAGCCTCCCTTCCAGGATCTGGTTTCCTTATTTTAGTGACTTAAATGAAACTGCCTAACCCTAAACCCTGAACCCAAAACCCAAACCCTAAACCCTTATAAACCCCAAACTGTCTATCAAGAACCCACTTAAACACCAGAGTGTCTGACTGACGAAAACAGGCTTCCCGGCCAGCTTCTGAGAGAAGTCTGCGAGGAAACTGTCCACCAGATAATCTCGGTTTAGGGTTTAGGCTTCCTTGAAGGGATCAAACGGGGTTCTTTTGAAGGGATCCATAACGGATCTAATTATCGGTTTTTTAAGTGCAATGGCTTCTTTCTGTGCTTCGCGAAAGATGCTGCAGGATAAAGCCTGCCTCCAGATGGGGCCTACACTGAACAGCAGAACCATCATATCGACAGCCAACTAGGGTTTTGGGGTTCAGGGTTTTAGGGTTTAGGGCTTAGGGGGATTTAGGGGGTTAGGGTTTAGGGTTTCAGTTCGCGGCTAACGCTCAAGCTCCAGGGCAATTAGCAGATAGGAGCAAGGAGGATAAAGACCCTTTCGAGAAGGTCCCGTTTAAGAGAGCCAGAAGTAGGGTTAAGCAGGGTCCCCTTGAAGGAGTCTCCCTAATACTGCCTAGGAGCAATTAACCAAGCTGCCCCCGTTACAGCTTCTGCGAACCATTCGTGAAGAGACAACACTTGTCCCAGTGGCCTACCTTGTTAAGACTCAGGCCTAAAACAAGGAACCCTCGGAATAAGTCCAAATTGACCCTAGACCCTAAACCCTAAATTGACCCTAAAGCCCTCAACCTCTATCCGACTCTGCGAATCTGATCCTGCTTTGGCCAAGATGCTCTCTGCTGCAAGCCTCGTGATGGTGACCTGCGTCACAATTCTTAGAAGCTGAGTTCATAAGCCCCCAAAAGAAGTGTACACTTTTAGTTCTATAGTGGGTAATACTATCCCAAAAAGTGTAAAGTGTATCCACTCAGCTACTAAGAATTCGGGCATTGGATTTCTGTTGAGGGCTGGGGTTCCAGGTGTTTCGGTCAGTCTTGTGGCAAAGGACGGCTACAATAGAATCTGATGGAAACCCTAAAACAGCCCTAAACCCTAAACCCTAACGGTTTAGGGTTTAGGGTTTAGGGAAACCGTGGTCCTTCGATGGCTGGGCTCCACCGATGCTTAAGTGCTCGAGGACATCTGTGGCACGCTGCCGCTGATGTGGCTGGATCCTGTACCGTAGTATATTAGGGGTCCAAGTGCCAAATAAATACGTACTCTCTCACATGCTATCTTACGAAACTACCATCCTAAACTAGGTTCAGGGGTGGTTATAAGTGGGGTTATAAGTCCCCTACCATGGGTTAGAAGTATAGTTCAGGGGTAGTTTTAGGCGTAGTTATAAGTGGGGTTATAAGTCCCCTACTATGGGTTAGAAGTATACTTACCCTACTTATGACCCTACTTATAAATACCCATGAACCTCCAAGTAGGCTCCTGAGTAGCCCCTTATAATAAGGGTACCTGTTTTACCAAAATTCTGTTGTAATAGGGAGACCCCTAAATAGAAAGGGCAAAAGGGGTACTAGTACTACTCAGGAACCTAGGCATACTGTAGGGGTTGTATTGACTAAGAGTAGGGATTTGGAAAGGAATAGTGTTGGAAATGGCTCCAACTACAATATTTCTACATCGGCCTCCTGCAGGTTTCAAGCCTCGTTCTAGTTTCGTGTATGGGTTGTTAAAATTCAGTGTTTGCTGCCGATTAGGCTCTAACCATCGGTATGAGATGCTGTCAGTACGGACTCTACGAAGTCTGAGGAAAACCCTAAAAAGCCTTTCTCGCAGAGCCGGCCTCTGATACCTAAATTCCCCAAATCTATCCGTGCAACATAGAGGCATGAATATTCGTTTGTACAGGGTTCCTGCAAGGGGTTCCCTTGAAGAGCTACTGTCATGGGTACAATACTATCGGGGTCTAATATATAGGCCTCAATGATCAGAACAGGGTGCATTGTAATTCAACATGATTGTACTGGTAGGTAACTGTAGCCGCCAAGCAATCAAGGATACCACTTACTCGAGCGCCTACAACACCTTGACGGACCAAACCCTACTTTTTGCAGATTCTTGTTCTAAGCCCTAATATGGAATTTGTAGGACCCTACAAAAAAGCAGGTTCTTGTAGGTTAAGGTAGGTCATTGTCAAAGCCCCTAGGCATCCGAAAGAGCCGATATGGCAGAGCTTACGACTAATGGGCAATATAGGGCTCAATAAGTAGAATGAGGTTTTGGGCCCCCTTATACTATAATTGTATTAAGGAACCCCAAAATAGTATAGGTAATTATTTAGTCCCCTATAGTAGCAAAGGGGTTCTGGGGCCTAGGGTTTGTTTCGTGCCAAAGAAGACCCCGTCCCCCCCCCGCCCTCCACTCTCCTTCCAAAAAAAGAAAGCACTAACGCAATGTTCAGGGCCCTGCTGAGCGACGTGGGCCCTTAGGATACAACTCCTCATCCTTTTTGCTCCTCCTCTGCCTCCTACGGCTACTCCTGCTACTATCATAATCATGACAAGAATAATACGACGACTACCACTACGACTAGTACGAGTACTGGCACTAATGCTAATGCTAGTGCTCGGGCTAGTACACCCTCGTACTAGTATTCATACTAACACTAGTACTGCTCCTAGTACTACTAGTACTACTACTGCTACTACTAATAATAATAATCATGATCTTAACAACAGTATCCAGAAATAAATGGGATCCTGCAGATTTGAAAGAACGAAATCCCAAATGACTATATTCTGACAGGTGTATGAGCTCCTTTGAGCCTGACTCAGGAGATTCTGTCCTAACGCCAGAATCTGTGGCCGCTGTCTGTCAGATACAGGTCGACGTACATCATCGACCGCATTGGCCGGCAACGCCTCTCCATGACCACCAAGTGGCTGTTCCTCAAGCGCCATGTCGTTGCCATCAAGACTGTCCTCCAAAGCCTCGTTCTCTTTGCATGAGACCCGAGGCTTGCCACGTGTCTGGCTCCACACCAAAGGAACATCTTGTTCATACAAGAGGTCTTCGGCCCAAGAGGCTCCTTCCCTATAGATTCCGAAGCAAGGGCATCGCACAGCAAGCTACACATCCGCGGGCCTCCCGTCAAGATGCCAAAAATGCCGCACAACGTGAGAAAGCATCCTGTGAGAGTTATCCAACTAATCATTGTCATAACGACATGGTCAAGGATCCTGATCGCAGCCATGACAAGGCACCTTCATAAGAAATAGTTAGTTAACTAACTAAGCAATTAGTTAGTTCATTATTCAATTGTTTCATTAGTTTATACATACACTTACATATATATATATATATATATATATATATATGTGTGTGTACATATGCATATAAATACATACACATACACAAATAACCACATATGCACATGCATATACATCTACGCCTCATGTATGTATCCATACTCATATCATAGACATAAACTTACACCTACACATGCACGTACACAAAAAACATACATATGCATATACATATACATATACATACATTTACATTTGCACATGCAGATACTCTCGTGTTCCCCCCTTCTACGGCACGCTGCGTCATATGTCCTAAGCACTGGCTGTAGCTGATGATGGGTCGAACTTCAATCTAAAGACTAAACCCTACACTACTTCAAACTACCCGAACCCTAAAGGCGTTATGGAACCCATGAAACGAGCACCATAACCCATCTTTCAGAACCTCACAGGAACCTTTAAAGAAGCCCATAATGGAACCAACATCCGAAAAAACAAAACTTGAAGGAACCCAGACAGGAGCCCCTACAAATGGCTCGGTTGTGCCTCGCTCTGGCTCTCTGGTACAGACAGCTCTCCTGATCAGGACTCTTGGAATACACTACATGCTTTGATCAGAATCCGGCTTGTGTAATGGGTTCTGCGAAGGATTTTGTAAGGGCTTCCAAGTATCTGTAATGAGTTTGCGGGGCGCGTTATAGTATAAACACCGTATCCGTACCTGTTTCGCTCCCTTTGTATATTCTAGACCTGTACTTTGGCAGGTCGTAGAGCCCGCAGTTCCCATGCAGCAGTTGCAGTCGCACGTTCCTGCGGCCATGTTTGGCTGCAGTTCTTGCAGCCCGGAGAGAAGCCTAAACTTTGAGGGACGGAGAAGGAAAGGAACCCCACTCACACGCTCTCGCGCACACTCGCTCCTGCAATCGTACGGTTTCGAATGCTGGGACAATCACTGGACACTGTGAGCTTCGATATAGATTAGAATACAGGTTTTAGTAGGTCGCTAACCCTCTCTCTACCCTTGGGCGACCCCATAAGACCATCAGGGGTACACTACTTAATAGGCCCAAGTGTCCTGTAGTCTGGGCTCCGTTAAACTGCTCTTCCGGTGCATTGAGGGGTTAAAAGCGCACCGAAAATGGCGCTGGGGCTTTTGACAATGGTGAGTCATCCTAAACTGATGATTAAAATACAAAGTCCGCAACATGACCGACCTCTTAACCTGAGCAGTGCTGGCACATATGCATGCTTCTCCTAGGATATCCAGTAACCTAAGAATAAAAAGGCCTCTCTTTTTGGTATTGGGTAACTTTATAAGGAACCTAGGACTACAAAAAGGGAATAAGGGTACTACTGGGCATCCTAGTCTCTCATTCAGTTAGAACTCTGGCTTTGGGCTTGCTGCCGTCACAGTTGAAGCAGTTGTAGACTGCTTGAGTGTATGTGCCTTCAGTACCCAGAGACTCCAATGTCCCTGAATTAAGGAATATACCGTACAATAGATTAGGGATCCTGCTATGATTTATGATATTTTCCTTGATTAAGGGATATTGGAACCCTAAACCCTAAACCCTAAACCGTCTCTGGGTAGCTTTGAGCAGTTGCCGACCATCTGCTTTCACCTCGTAAACCCTTCGCCCCAGTAAACTGATGGAGGTCGGACATCCTACAAGAGGCATGTAAGAAGCATAAGAAAGAAACCCTAAACCCTAAAATTGTGTGAGACGTAGCTCCTTATCATTTTGTTGTCGTTTTATGCTTTCTTCTCATCGTTTTACCATAGAGAACCATCCAACACCCAACAAGGACATGCCAAGACTAAACCTAAAGCCGCGGTGCTATTAAACAGCCCCAAGTGAGTTGTCAGTTTGCCGAGCTTCAGCCGGAATAGAACCCAGAGCCTCCAAAACCCCTTAATTAAGGAATATACCTTAAATCATATTAGGGATCCTATTATAATTTAAGGTACATTCCTTAATTAAGGGGTTTTGGAGGCTCTGGGAATGGAATAGAAGTATGAAGTACCCTGAACGTCCAATTGGGAGTTTCCGACAACAGGGCACCGTAATATAGTATCCTGAACAATAGGATCCTTATTAAAAGGATCCGAAAATAAGGTACCCCCAATTTTCGGAGACTCCAAATTGGGGTTGTGCCTGTTAAAGAAAATCACATCGCACCCTTTGACCCCATCCTGCTCCTGCCCTGCATGTTCCTAGTCTTACCTTCGGGTTCAGGGCTAATATATAAGGGACCTTAATAATTAGAATAGGGTTTTGGGGCCCGTTATAGTGAAAAAGGAACCCCCAAAATACTATCGGTAACTGTTTAAGCCGCTATAGTACCCACCAACACCATCAGACTTAAACTAAGGTTAGGGGCATGGCCGTCTCGAATCGCAAACTCAAGGGCTTGCGTCCACGACCCTAACCCCTAAACCCCTAAACCCTAAACCATAAACCCCTAAACCCTAAACCCAAACCCGTTTAACCAGGGCTTTAGGGCCCAAATGACAAGAAATTCGCCCCGATAAACCCTTGAAGAATCGTTGAAGAGTGATGGTTCCTGAGGATGACACCCTTCAGAAGGTACGGCTGATGGACAAAATCCTGCATTACCCCAAGGACCCTAAACTATGGGAATTATGGTATATTCCTTCTTATGGGTAATGCAGGATTTTGTCCATCAGCCGTAGCATGTCCCTTGAAGTCGCGCTGGCACCTGAATTGATGATGCGCCGTACATCCCGTGTAAAGGACATCCAGCTGTCGTAGGCGTTAGCCACGATGCTCAACAGCCTGCCGGCTTGGCTTTTGGGTTCCTTCTAAACTCCGCAACCTCCAAACGGTTCTTACTCCCTAAACGCCTAAACCCTGAACGCTATCCATCACCAGAACCCTATTTCCCTTAACCCTTAAGCCCTCAACCTAGAACAACATATCCTTAAACCCTAGACCCTGAACCGGATACTCGATACTCGAAACTCGAAAACCGAACCACCGCTGGAATAAAAATGTCCAACACCTACAAAGGACCACTCTTCTACATGCTTCTGGGTCCAGGCAAGGTTTAGGGTCAAGAGACCGATCGGAAAGTCTCGGCCTCGGAAAGCCCCTTGCAAATACCAATACAATGCTTGGAGGCAGCTTTAGGGTTTAGGGTTTAGGGAGTAGGGCTTAGGGTTTAGGAACGAACAAAATCGCCACGTCAAACCCTAAACCCTAAATGTTTGCCGCACCACTAGTTTTGAGGTCATCACTGCGTGGGCACCAGGAAACCGAAACGTCCATACTTAATGCAGGGGCCTTAATGATTGGAAGACGGTTTTCAGCGCCTTTATACAGTATAAAGACTAAAAGGATGGAATACTCTTGGCATTTTTTAGCTTCTGTGTTAGTCGTATCCGGTGGACCTTACTTGTGAATACGGATCCCTCTACAACTGACGGAAGGTTCCCTGATCAGATCCTATAGCCCCTCTAAGGTATCCTAGAAAAACAAGGCTTGCAAACCAGCTCTAGAATCTGCAAAGATCTCATAAACCTTGAACCCCCGATGGAACCGAATCCTATTATTGGAGCAACTGCGAAAGCATGCAGAGCCCCTTGGTTTTGTCGGTTTGGGAGTATATGATATTATACTTGTATAAGGAAACAACAAAATTGCTTGGGGCAGGCAACTATTTCGGCCTCTACATTATGGATCCTGCTGGGCTTTGTCTGGGTTCCATTTGCTGTGCCTGGGGGTGTGGGTCTTTGCGCTTAGGGTTCAGGGCTCTAAGGTTTAGGGTTCAGAGGTTCAGGGGTTTTAGGCCTTAGGGTGTAAAGCTCCACGGATCTTGGCTCCTTACTGTAGCGCGTGTGTCTGAGAAGTTAGGAGTTAAGCTTAGGGCTCCAGTGCTGTCCTGTCGCATTGTCTCAAAAAGTGGGCTGCAGGGTTCAAAGGTCAAAGGGGAAAAGGAGGGACCCTTAATGGGGACCCCTACCCTATAATGGGCTATATGATGGGTATATAATAGCTATATTAAGGGTATATATATATATATATATATATATATATATATATATATATATCCCTAGGGGTCCTTATTAGGGGTACCTCCTTTTACCCTTGGAAAAGGGTGAGGCTTCTAAAGGTTGAAGGCTCAGCCACCCGGTTA